TGGGACCAGTAGATCTGGGGATCGTGAGTCTGGAGCCACGGCAAGCCCAAGACCATGGGGAAAGCAGTCCGGAAGTGTTGTAGAACTGGATAGCATCCTCATGTGAGCCGATAGTCAGGTGCAAGGGTTGGATGGCGGCCTTGATAGGCCCAGACAAAAGCACCTGGCCATTGATGGTCACGACAAGCACAGGAGGTTCCACTGGGCACTGAGGGATGGTATACTGGGCTACAAATGCCACATCCATGAAGTTAGTGGTGGTGCCGGAATCGACCAGGGTATGCACTGGAATCCCCTGTGGACTATTCACCAGAAAAACATGTGCCACCAGGATCAAATGCCAAGGGGGTCCAGAATCCATGTCTTCTAGGCGTGACTCGAGGCTGATGTGCGCTGGACCCAGGGTCTCCCCTAGATCGGGCTCCGGCTGTTTCCTGACAGGGTTTTCTGGGTCCGGGGAGTAGGCACAGGGACCAACAGGGTTTTCTGGGTCCGAGGAACAGGCACTAGGGCTGACGCCCCTTGTTGCTTCTTGGGGTATGAAGCAACCAGGTTCCCAGGTTCCCTGTAATATAAACACAACCTCCTATGCGCCGTCTGTTGTGCTCCATCACTGACAGGTGGGGCCTGGCAGCGTCTAGATCCATGGGCTCCTCCTGTGGAGCCAGGTCTCATGCACAACAGGTGCCACAGGAGTCTCCTGGGAAGCACGGCAATGGTTCCGTCTCTGCAGGTGGGCATCGATCCTCAGGCACAGATGTATTGACAGTCGTGGGAACCAGCTTGTCCTGCAACTCCTCCAACAACCCATCCTGGAACGCGTCCATAAGGGCAGCCTCATTGCAGGCTGAATCCTTGCTAAGCAGCCGGAACTCGCTGACATATTCCTGCAGGGATTGCCGGCCCTGCTGCAGTTTCTTCAACCAATGGGCAGCAGTATGTGTCTTGATAGGGTCCTCATACATGAAACGAAAATGGTCAGAAAGCCTCCTGAAGTCATATAACAAAGGATTGTCCTGTACCAACAAACGCATGGCCCAGCGAGCTGCAGAGCCGTGAGCAAGCTAATTATAAACCCCACTTTATCCTGGTTAGTGGGGAAGTCCTCTGTTCTCAAGCTCATAAATAGCTGGCACTGTCCCAAAAACTCTGGAAACATAGCCTGGTTGCCATCAAACTTATCAGGAATGACAACTGGACATCTCCTTCGAGTAGGAGGTGGAGCAGCGAGAGCCTGGAGCTGGCCTAATTTATTAGCTAACAAGGTCAACTGCTGTTGCAAGTGAGCATTCTTTGCCCAAAGTTGTTCCATCTCGCATTCAAGGTTTGTTTCATTTGGGCAGGAAGCAAATTGTTCTGACCCAAGCCTTGTTCAAATTAAACAAACATAAACTGTGTATAAAAGCAAACCTTTTTTAATGTGGCGCTGGAATTCAGTGCATTCCCAGCCAAGAAACATTTAAACCTAATTGTCCGATATCAAAAGCAAGCCCTTTCAAGGTTGCAAAAGGCTGCCAAGAACAGAAGACTAATTACTGATTAAATATCCACCAACAGACGTTTCAAAAACAAACCGGAATATACAGGGCTTCAACAAGGACTATGATTCTAAAGAACTTCTTTGCTTCCTGCAAAGAACACACCCCCGAGGGCTGGATTTTATCCCTTATGGGAGGGGCCATCATATTCCAGCCTTACTCCCAAGTCACCCTTGCTGCTTCAGCTGCTCTTCAAGCAGCCCAGTGCACGTGCACAGGCTCCTCAAGGTCCTCTGCGTCACTGCTGCCAGACTCCACAAGCTCCGAAGGCAGCACCCCACTCTCCAATAGTCCTCGCCCCATCTCTGCATCACACGCAGGCTCCTCGTCTGAGTCCTCACTATCAGACAACTCTGCTGCCATCACCTGCTGCCAGCGAACCTCAACACTGGGTGTGCCTCAGTCGATTGGGGATACGTACAACCTGCTCTCTGCCCTGAGACACTGGCCCAACCTGTGCTTGCTAACACAAGGGCTGGCAGGGTGGGAATGGGATCAAGGAGAAGGGGACAACAGAAAGGGGGACGGGCCTGCAGTGCTCAGCTGTGGCTTTAAAACTTTCACGGGGGACTTTCGCTGCTCAGAGGACACTTCAATGGAAGCCACCGGCAGCAACGCTTTGCTGGAGGAGTAAAGAAGCTCAGGACAGCAGGAAAAGGGGGATGGCCCCCCAAACCCTGCATGCCCACCCCAGGGGTCAGGCTCAGAGAAAGCCAGAGCATCCTCGCCAATGATGCTCGTCCGTCAGCAGGTCTCCCCCACACTCTGTATCTCTCTCTATGTCTCTTTCTCTCTCTCTGTATCTCTCTTTCTCTCCTCACTGTATCTCTTCTCTCTCTCTCTTGGAAAGCAGAGGCTGGGCCAACCCAGCGAACTCTCCCTGGGGCTCTTTGCTAGTCCTTTTCTTTCTTGTCAACTTTTTTGAAATCTGGGTTGGCTGAGGAACAAGTGTGAGCAGCGGTGGAGGCTTCCCTTCGGGTGACCCTCCTCCTTTCCTCCCTTTTTCTCCTCTTGCAACCATAGCCAGCCAGGGGGTTGCGAGAAGAAAAGAGAGAGGGAGGAGGAGGAGGGTCGCACAAAGGGAAGCCTCCGCTATGGCTTGCGCTCGTTCCTCAGCCAGCCCAGATTTCCAAAAAGTTACCAAGAAGAAAGGAAAGGAGTATCAGAGAGCCCCAAGGAGAGCTCACCGGGTTGGCCCAGCCTTGGCTACACACACACGCACACACACACACACACACACACACACACACACCTCATCTCTCAGGGAGACACATACACATACATGTACACACACACACAGATACAGAAAGGGGGAGATAGGGAGGGGCGAGAGAGACAGAGAGATACAGTGGGGGAGAGAAGGGGAGAGAGACGGGTGGAGATAGGGAGAGAGGGAAAGGGAGACATAGAGAGAGACAGATACGGAGAGTGGGGAGATAGGGGAGAGAGACAGAGAGACAGAGAGTGGGGGACAGATACACAGACACAGAGAGGGGGAGAGAGTCAGAAATAGAGGGGGGAGAGAGACAGATACAGAGAGGGGAAGAGAGGGAGGGGGAGAGAGATACACAGATACAAAGAGAGGGAAAAGGGGGGGAGAGAGACAGAGGGGGGAGAAAGGGGGTGAGGGAGAGAGAGAGATGTCAAAAGGGTTTTATGGTTCAGAGTGTTTTTTAACAACCAGTTCTCTGTCCGAATGACCGGCTGTGTAGGCGTGGCTGGGGGTGTCATGTGACTGGGTGGGAGTGATGTCGAGTTGGCAATGCCCATGCAGGTTTTGTGGCTCCCTGTGTTTTCTGTGGAAAATGGGTCCAAATAGGTCTTTGAGTGTTTAAGGTTGCAGACCTCCGATGTAAATCAAAACATCTCTCTTTCATGTCAGTATGTTATATATCTGCTTTACCTATGAATGTGAGATATTCTATTTTTTATAACTTGTCTGTAAAAATGGTTGTAAAATTGGCATGTTAGCAATGGATCATTAAAATACTAGGAAGAAATTAAATTTCAGTTCACAGGAATTAATCTCATAGACATAATAATAATCTTATATGAAATATAATAATTATAATATAATATAATATAACAATATATAAGATAATAATCTCCTTATATGAAATAGGTTGTTAAATATATTTTCAGCTAATGTAACAAGGGATCACTTTTTAAAAAGATGTTGACAGGTTTTATCTGGTCTGGTTAACTAGATAGTTACATTTTAAAAATGCATGCCTACAAATAGACCTTGAGTAACAATCACAATTGGGACCAGAAATTCTCTTGCTAAGCAAGGCAGTTATTAAGTAAGTTGTGTCTAATTTTACAATCTTTGTTATCATATCAGTGCAGTTAAATGAATCGCACATCAGTCATAAAATGAATCTGACTTCACCATTGACTTTACTTGTTGGAAGCTATCGGAGAAGGTCACAAATAATGATTGTGTGACTCCAAAATGCTGCAACCTTGGTAAATTGTCAATTGCCCAAGTTTTTATCATATGACTGGAGATGCTATGTCAGTTGTAAGTACGAGGACCAATCATAAGTCACTTTTTCAGTGATATTATAACTTTAAAGGGTCACTAAACAAATGTTTGTAAATGAAAGGCCATCCGTACATTCCTTATTATGAAATCAAGCGTATGGCTCATCCCAGTTGAGATGAGAGCCTATCTGTTTGCTGTAGAATCAAGTTGACATGAACTCGGACATAAACTGTAAGTGCAGGCATGCCCATGATTTTTTCCAGGGCAAACCTGTCTGAGAAACCTGGTAAAGAAGGATATTCCACAATATACTAGGACCACTTTGGTTTACCGATTCACCTGATGCCAGAATCCTAGCTATGTTTATATGGGATTAATATGGGATATGGCAATAAATAAGTAAATAAATATTGGTTCATGAGAGAAAAGGCTAAGCATGTTGTATTAAAAGGGCTTATTACATTTTAACAATAGGAAAAATGACTTTCTTAGGAAATCAGCTCATTCATCTGTAGTAATTTCTTCTGAAAAGTGATGCAGAGATTTTCATGAGGGATTGCTTTTTGTGTATGTAGAGTTATATCATGGATTTCTGTTTAATATTATAAATATTCTTGGTGTTTTCTATTTTAGATGGAACTCTGTGCAAAGTTACAATAGTCAGGGTGACAATCGATTCCCCTTATTGCATTTTTATTAAAGATGACAGTTTCTCATATAGTGAGTAAGGTGTTTAAGCAGTAGTAAATGTGGCTTTTTATGGAGCCAGGCAGGTGTGGCCATTCTGGTATCAAGGGTGAAGTGATTCATAGAGGCACCTATGAAACTAGGAGTACTTTCTCTATATTCAGGAAAAAAACTGGGAGTTATTTTTTTTTCTGTAGGGACTTGTACACAGCAGCTACATGCTACTTTGTGTAAAATTAAATATTTCTTGGGTAGAACTTTGCTGTTTATGATCTGTTTTCTTTGCTTTCTTTCAGTTTCATCAGAGTTCAAAATGCAGCAGCTGGTTTCTTGCCTGGGTGTGTGGTTTTTCCTCCAGCTTCCCAACCTTGGTTCTGGAACACGTGTTGTCTACAAAGTACAGGAAGAGCAGCCACCCAATACACTCATTGGAAGTCTGGCAGCAGACTATGGCTTCCCAGATGTAGGGCATCTCTATAAATTAGAGGTGGGTGCCCCCTATCTGCGTGTGGATGGCAAGACTGGTGATATCTATACCACAGAAACTTCCATTGATCGAGAAAGCCTGAGAGAGTGCCAGCACTTGTTCCCAGGAGATCCTTGTTTTCTGGAATTTGAGGTTTCTATCACAGACCTGATGAATAATAGCCCACGCCTACTGGAGGGACAGATTGAAGTGATGGACATCAATGACAATACACCCAACTTTGCATCTCCTGTCATCACACTAGCCATTCCTGAAAATACCAATATTGGTGCACTTTTCCCTATTCCATTGGCCATGGATCGTGATGCTGGTGCCAATGGTGTTGCTTCCTATGAACTCATGCCTGGTTCAGATGCTCAGAAACTTTTTGGCTTACAAGTAGCAGAGGATCAAGATGAGAAACAGCCACAACTAATTGTAATGGGAAACCTAGACCGGGAGCAATCAGAGTCTTATGACTTAACTATCCGGGTTCAAGATGGGGGTAGCCCACCTCGTGCTAGCAGCGCTTTGTTGCGGATCACCATTCTGGACATGAATGACAATGCACCAAAGTTTGAGAAACCATTGTATGAGGCTGAACTTTCAGAAAATAGTCCTATTGGTCACTCTGTACTGCAGGTGAGCCCTTTTTCAGTAGAAAAGTCCAGACATATAATTCTGGATTTAGAATTTGAATACCTATTAATTTCAAAATATGAAAAGGATTATATATTTAGGTATTTTGCATGCTTTACTTACTACTTTCCTAGTATTTTAGAGCTTGATGTTATTTGAAGTTTGAATTAACAGCTTTTGTCCATCAGTAGAAGTGCTTTGCAAACAATAGTCTGGGAGGATGGAAGCTGGAAAAACGAATTGAGAATTTCTGTAGTCAAATTCACTGGAATTATTGGAGAGGAAAAAGCATATATTTTTTCCTTTTTCTCAACTTCTGATCATATAGTTTACTGTTCTTATATCATTTACAACAGCTACTTCCATCAACAGTAGCACTTAATTCCAGCTGGTTACATCAGAAGGCAGGGGAGTAAGATTCCATCTTTTAGCATAACTGGGATCACCAGCCATTATTTTCTTTTCCTGCTAACCAATTTTTATTAAATATGATTTTGTCCTTTGTCTTATTTTTATCACACTATAAATACATTAAATATGGGTAAATATTTCTCCTCTGAGGCTTATATATCCAGGAATAATAAATATTTTTGTGGCTGGAAAGGGGTGCAGCTGTGGCTGGGGGAATTGGTGGAGGCGCTGGAGCCGGCATCCACTGGTACTGAATCCACCCATGTCCTGGGAAAAAAGCCCATCCGGGAGGAACCTGGCCTGCAGGTAGCATCCCTGGAGGTGCTAGTGGAGCTTGTTGGATCGGCTTGGGGTGCCTCTTTGTCTGCCTCCAACCCCCGGGCTCGATCAGTCTGCTGGGCCTGGGGGTCATGCTGTTGCGGCAAGTGACAAGGCTGCTGCCGCAGCTGAGGGGCTTTGTTGATGGGTCCCTGCCTTGTCCTGGGCAGCACGCATCCAGGCTGACTTGCGTGTGGAGAGATTTGAACTGTGGGACCCACACTGAGTAGTTCCAATTTTTCTGGTAATCCAGCTACTGACTGACTCGGCGATGCTGGTTGAAGTCTGCATTCATGAACTCTGCCAGTCTCCAGGGATCGTGGTGGTCTCCACTCGGTAGCTTTGGTTCCTGGTGGCCACTGTGCCCCCAAAGGTGGGAGGACATCAATCATTGATTCTATCAATGGGATTTGCCAGAGGGTCGGTTCTTTGGGTCTCACTCCACTTCGGAACTCGGCCTGCGTGGCTTGTGCCGTGGCCGCTTCTGCTTCCGAAGGGTAATAGCAGATTTCACAAATTTCTTCATGTATGGGCCCGATGGCCCCTTCACTTGTCTCTGGTTCTTGTTCCATCTTCCCTGAGTCTTTACACTCCTGAGGTGTGGAGGGAGCGTTTCGGGACTCAGGACCCTGGGCAATGGTACCACGTTAGCGAAAACCGCTGTGATTTTTCTTTTTTAGGAGATTCGGGTTAATGTCAGCATTCCAACAAAACTCTCCATCTCAGTTCAGCACTCAGAAACAAAGTTCATCCAAGTAAGAATTTATTAGAGAAGTCATATTGGCACGTCTGTGAAAATCCGAATCTCAATTCCCATGGTTTCCCCTGCTATGTTAAACTCACACCCAGCCCCCTTTTCTGATGATCCTCAAGTCACACTTTCCAATCCACTTCCATTCTGAACTCCTGCCAAGTCCAGTCACTCCCCTCCATACTCTAGAGACTCGGCCTTGAGCAAAAGAATGTTGTTGTGGCTATCCTCATTTTACTTTAATTCTCACAGTTACTCATCCTCCCTTGTGGCAGCCCCAAATCTGATTCAAGATGGATGGGGGCTGACAGTCTACTTATGGGGTCCTTTCCAAGGTCCTCGGATAGGCAGATTTGGATGTTTGATGATGTTACAGATATTGTTTCAGGATGTAAGCTGTTCTGAGTAAAGCTGCCTTTTGCAATTTACTAATGGAGAATTTGTCAATGCAGATGGTGTTGAAGTGTGCTCCAATTATTTTGGGATTGCATCCAAGGTGCCTATTACTATTGGGACTACCTTTGTTTGTTTTTGCCACAGTCATTCAATTTCTATTTACAGTCTTCGTAATTTGTTATTTTCTCCAATTTTTTCTCTTCTGCTATCTCCAAATACTGCCACATCTATTATCCAGATTTTTTTTCTTTCTTATCAACAATTGTTAGGTGGCAGCTGCACGTCTGAATTCTAAAGTCCAAGAGCAATTTAGCTTCTTCAATACCTATGATTTTCTCTATTTTATAGTCTCACCAGTTCTTCCTGGCAGACAGATGATATTTCTTGCAGATCTTCCAATATAACATTGTTGCTATTTTGTCATGCTGTTGCTTCTAATCAGTCTGTGTAATCTTCTTCCACTGGCCTTCTTACCAGGTGGTCCACTGTTTCTTCAGATTCTTTGCAAGGGGGTACTTATTCTCTCTTGCTGTCTTCTCAATTCTGTTTTTGTATGCATTTGTTCTTAAAGCTTGGTCTTGTGCAGCCTCTCTGTTTTCAAAGTTCTTTCTCTTCCCATGCCCCCATTCTGTTCTTCATTTTGTTTTTCTTGTAGGCCAGTTTGGTCTCTAGTAGTCAGTAAGCCCTCCTGCTATACAGGTATTGAATCAGAATAGAGCTGGAAGGGAACTGGGAGGTCTTCTAGTCCAACTCCCTGCTCAAGCAGAAGACCCTATACTTTTCAAACGTGGCTATACAGTCCTTTCTTAAAAACTTCCAGTGATGAAGCACCTACAATTTCTGAATGCAAGCTGTTCCAATGGTTAATTGTCCTCATTTAAGGACATTTCTCCTTAATTCCAAATCACTTTTCTCCTTGATGAGTTTCCATTAATTGTTTCTTGTTCTGCCTTCTGATGCTTTAGAAAATAAATTGACCCCATCTTCTTCGTGGCAGCTCCTCAAATACTGGAATACTGATCTCATGTCTACTACTCTTAGTAAGACCACACCTAGAATACTACATCCAATTTTGGCCACCACACTATAAAAAAGAGCTTAAGAATCTAGAAAAAGTGCAGAGAAGAGCAACCAGGATGATTAGGAGATTGGAGGCTAAAACATATGAAGAACGGTTACAGGAACTGGGCATGGCTAGTGAAGGGACCAGGGGAGACATGATAGCAGAGTTCCAATATTTGAGGGGCTGTCACAGAGAGGAAGGGGTCAAACTATTTTCCAAGGCACCTGAAGGCCAGACAAGGAATAATGGATGGAAACTGATCAGGGAGAGATTCAACTTAGAAATAAGGAGAAATGTTCTGATGGTGAGAACAATCAACGAATGGAACAGTTTGCGTTTGGAAGTTGTGGGAACTTCATCATTGGTGGCTTTTAAGAAGAGATTGGACTGTCATTTGTCAGAAATGGTGTAGGGTTTCCTACTTGGGCAGGGGTTGGGCTAGATTGGGGTTGCCAACCTTTTGGACCTCCAGGACCTCCAAACTCATAATCTTAAATCCCGCAGACCATAATTTTAAATCCCACTGGGGAATTCTGGGAGTTGAAGTCCACCAGGCTTAAAATTGCCAAGTTTGGAGACCCCTGATCTGGATGACGGTCGATTATAGTCAGACTTCTGAACTTCACTTAAACACCGATTTTTACCAGCTCTGAAACCCTGCTTTTGTAGATTTTTTTAGATTTTTTGATATTTTTGAAAGAGAGAGAGAGAGAGAGATTATGTATTCATGTATCATCCATTTTAATTAGTTTAAAGTTTCTTTATTCAAAGATCCATTCAAAAGGAGGAGCAAAACAAAAGTTAAGGAAGTCCAATTCTACCTCCGTATTTATTTAATCACAATTATCAGTTCTCTTAAGGCTTTTAATTCAAATCCATTTAGTTCATTCAGGTTGTTTTTTTCTCTGTAATCACCACAGGGTTCACACCTAAGCAGCTCCTTCGCGCTCTCAAATGTCTCCGTTCTCCAAACTAAAATCCAAAGTTCACTTCCTACATCAATTCCTAGCACAGATCCAGTCACCTTTCTTCTCAGCCATATGCACAAATCTTCTCCCGTTCTAGCCGCCAGATCTTCTCTCTTTCTTGGCTACTTCCGATCTTTTTGCCCACAATTAAATTTGCTGCTCCATTAGCTCTTAGGTTCAAATGCCGGGTTTTGATTCGCTTTTGGTGCCCCTTTCTGTTTTACTCACTTTTAAGTTGTTGAGGTTGTCAGTTTAGTATGCATGTTCGTTCTGCTATTTCACCAATAGTACAACCAGCTGTCAGTTTCAGTGGGCGGCCATTTCCAATCGTCCTTCCTCTGTTTGCTCAATCCAGGTCCTCTCCGCTCTCCCACACAAACCGCCGCCCATGTAGGTTTTTCGGCACCCCTACACCTTCAGAAACCCTACGAGCCTCCTGACCCCGAAAGGTCCCGCAAAACGAAGGTAGAACATCATGCTTTGCAGAGCCTCCTGCTCGCATGTCTTCTCTCCCTGTCAGCTGGCTCCACCCCCAAAATGCTCAGTTATTCTTTATTTCAATTCTACTTCTTTAGTTAGAGGCCTTTGTTCTTTCTGAAGCAGAGGAAAGGGCGTCTGGTTTTCACGTGAAAACAATTCTATATCTCGACTGGATATTGTGAATTTCATTGTATGTATACTGTGTATATATGTACAATGACAATAAATAATTCAATTCAATTCCTCTATTGCCAATTCCCCCTGGTTTGCCTCTAGTCTTGAGTTACTTCTGTCCAGGCTTTGATTTCTTTGCTCTGGATAGAGCTTTGGATTTTATCCAATTCTGGTTCTGTTAATATTTTATTTAATATTATAAATTGACTTTGATCATGTAGCCTCTTTTTTAAATATATGTTTTATTTGTAATTTTCCTTTAGCATGCATACATATTTTGAAGACAGTGTATTGACTGGGTCAATATATATTTTTACACGATGCTAGCAATAGTAATACAATTAGGTATACATAATCCTAGTCTTCCAATTTCTAAACTTAACCTGCACAGTGTATTTATAAGCTTCAATAACATTTCTTCATGCAGTATGTTTGTCATCCC